CTCTCTCTGCCTCTCTCTGCCTCTCTCTCTGCCTCTCTCTGTCTCTCTCTGTCTCTCTCTGCCTCTCTCTGCCTCTCTCTGCCTCTCTCTGCCTCTCTCTCTCTGCCTCTCTGCCTCTCTCTCTGCCTCTCTCTCTGCCTCTCTCTGCCTTTCTGCCTCTCTCTGCCTCTCTGCCTCTCTGCCTCTCTGCCTCTCTGCCTCTCTGCCTCTCTGCCTCTCTGCCTCTGCCTCTGCCTCCCAAGTGCTGGGACTAAAACCATACAAGTCTAATGTTTCTCATTGACTTTTTAAAAATACTCTTTCAAGCCTGAATTTCTCCATTTTCATTGAAATCCAACTCAATATGTTTGGTCTTAAATAAGACTTTCCCTTAAACCTAAGACTGATCATGCTTTTTTGGACACCTAACACTAGGTCACTCCTACTACCTCATCTCTGATCTGTCCTGCCCAATAAATTCTAATCTTAATTGCTAACAGGTCCAAAAAATAGACTGTCTTCCCAAAAAGTAGACTATGGGAAAAAAAGTGCCCAATTAAGAAAATGACTGTTATTGTAGAGGGCAAAGACTTCCCTTTTGTGGAATGCTGCTCTACATTCTTCGTGTAAATGCAGGCAAGAACACTCCCAGGAGTGTTCTCAGAGGATCTACTGTGATTCAGTTAGTATTTAGTGAACAAATGAACAGTCACTTAAAAATTAATAATTAATATCAGGTGGAAAAGGGTACTCAGAAGGAGTTTCCTGCACCCAATGGATGGCAGGTTGAAGTTGATTCTGTATTGTCTTCCTCTCTTTTAGGTTTGTTTTGGCATGGAATATACTGGCAACATGGGTCTGGTGCTTGGGAAAATGCCCTGGTTAAGTCACTTCCTTTGCACTGACATTTCAAAGCTTTGGGAATTGACAATGTGGGATCCAGCTCTTTAAAATTTAAGGATTTCAAAAAAAATGATCTTTTGCTCCATTTCTAGTATGTGCTGGGCCAGCCATGAGTGCTTTCTCTCCTTTTATGTTACTTTGTCTATGCTTTACATGTGACCTTTGCATATTATCTATCACCAAGCATACCTGATTACTCTGATGTCACCTTTTAAAATATTCTGCATAACTCGAAATATTCAGGAACAGAACACTCGAATATAGCAGGTATGGATTCTCCATCCTTAGCTCCTCAGAGGCACTTAGATCTAGGTCAGTGGTCCTCAAACTTCCTAATGCGGCAATCCTTTATACAGTTCCTCATGACGTGGTGACCTCCAAACCATAAAATTATTTTTGTTGTTGCTTTATAATTTTAATTTTGCTATGATTACATATCATAATGAAAATATTTTTGAAGATAGAAGTTTGTAAAAAAAAAAGGGGGGGGGGTCATGACCCATGGGTTGAGAACCACTGATGTAGAAGGAGAAGGTGTGTATCAAGAAGGTTGTATGTAAGTGTCCACCCTACTTTTCCTAGAGGCACAAGCAGGAAACCTCGGATGAGTCTTTCCTGGTTCTCTTATCAATATCTTCTGCTAGACATGAGCTCATTAACCAATCAATTTCTTCTGAGCCAAGTGCTTATCCAAGGACATGAAAAAGAACTATAATAAAAGCTCAGGTTCATGAAGTGCCCAACTGCACAGTCCAAAGTACTTTAAGCCCAAGATCCTGGGCAAAAACAGCAATGCTGGAGAAACTGCCATTACATATTTCAAGTTATATTGCAGAGTGATAGTAATAAAAATAATAGGTTCTAGCCGGGCAGTGGTGGTGCATGCCTTTAATCCCAGCACTCGGGAGACAGAGGCAGGCGAATCTCTGTGAGTCCAAGGCCAGCCTGGTCTCCAGAGCGAGTGCCAGGATAGGCTCCAAAGCTACACAGAGAAACCCTGTCTCTAAAAACAAAAGAAGTGCCCAATTAAGAAAATGACTGTTATTGTAGAGGGCAAAGACTTCCCTTTTGTGGGAAGCTGCTCTACATTCTTCGTGTAAATGCAGGCAAGAATCTTGAAATTCAAAGGCAAATGGATGGAACTAGAAGAAACCATCCTGAGTGAGGTAACCCAGTCACAAAAAGACAAACATGGTATGTACTCACTCATATATAGATTTTAGACATAGAGCCAAGGATTACCAGCCTACAATTCACACTGCCAGAGAAATCAGGAAACAAGGAGGATCCTAAGAGAGACATATATGCACCCCTGAAGAAGAGGAAAGGGACAAGATTTCCTGAGCACATTGGGAGCATGAGGGGAGGGGAGAGAGAGCTAGGAGAATGAGAAGGGGAGAAGAAAGGGGGAGAGGAGGACCTGAGTTGGGGGAAGAATAGAGGAGAGCAAGAAAAGAGATACCTTAATAGAGGGAGCCATTAAAGGTTTAAAGAGAAATCAGGCACTAGGAAAATGTCCAGAGATCTACAAGGACAACATCAACTAACAATCCAAGCAACAGTGGAGAGGCTACCTTAAATTCCCTTTCCAATAATGAGATTGATGACCATCTTATATGCTATCCCAGAGCCTTCATCCAGTAGCTGATAGAAGCAGAAGCAGACACCCACAGCTAAGCACTGAATTGCACTCCTGGAATCCAATTGGAGAGAGGGAGGAGTGATGAGCAAAGGGATCAAGACCAGGCTGGAGAAACCCACAGAAACAGCTGACCTGAACAAAGGGGGAGCTCATGGACTCCAGACTGATAGCTGGGAAAACAGCACAGGACTGATCCAGACCCCCTGACTGTAGGTGTCAGTGAGGAGGCCTGGGCAATCTATGGGGCCTCTGGTAGTAAAACAGTTTTATCCCTAGCATAAGAATGTACTTTCAGGGCCCATTCCACATAGATGGATACTCTCTCAGCCTAGACACACGGGGGAGGGCATAGGTCCTGCTCCACATGATATGACAGATTTTGAAGATTCCCCCAAGGAAGGCCTCACCCTCCCTTGGGAGTAGAAAGAGGATGGGATAGGGGATTAGTGGGGGTCAGGGGAAGAGGGGAAGGAGAAGAAACTGGGATTGACATGTAAAACGAGCTTGTTTCTAATTTAAATAAAAAATAGGAAAAAGGAGAAAATTTAAAAAAGGATTTATCATCTCTAGCAATTAGGAAAATACAAATGAAAAGAATTCCAAGATTTTATTGTATCCCAGCCTTAAAAATAAAGGTCAAAAAAACAGCTGCAGAGGATGAGGGGAAAGGTACCTTCGATCACACTGTCGGTGGGATTATAAATTGGTCCAGCTACCCTGGAAATCGGTGGGGAAACACTCAAAGGCTAAAAACAAGTCTACCATTTGACACAGCTCTACCACTCCTTGGCATATGCCCACAGGGTTTGACATCCTACACCACGGATACTTACTCAGCCCTGTTCACTGCCATTCTATTAACAATATCTAAGAAATGGAAACAAACTGAAAGTCATTCAAGTGATGGACTGATAACCAAACTGTGGTACATGAATACAATGGAGTACTATTCAGCAATAAAGAAAAATGAAATCATGAAATTTGAATGTAAATATATAGAAGTAAAAAAGATCATATCAAGTGAGGTAATGCAGATATGTTTTCTTTCATCTGGTGATCTTAGCCCCAAGTTTTCAGATGTGCATATACAACTAGAAAAGCAAAAATGGGTTTACTGTTAGGGGGTGCCATAGGGGGAGTAACAGGGTGGAAGTAACTGAAGCGGGAAATTGGGAAAATGTGTGAGAGGACTTAATAAGGGAGCAGAGAAAAAATACATAAGTAGAAGGAAGGCAAAACAACAGAAGGGTGTCTGAAAAGGTCATAACAAATCACTCTCTAATTAAAATTATATAATACATATGTCTGTATATTCATATGCATTTATCGTATAAATGGAATCTTCTCATCTCTGCTAACAATGCTCTCCTGTGAGAGGAGCATAGACTATTAAACTAAGGCATGAGAACACCCCTTTTGAGTTGCTGGACAGAATCATACAGGAGACTCCCAAAA